GCCCCTGCCAGCCCTGGCAGGGACCTCGGTGTGGTGACTTCGGGCCCTTCCTTCCCTTCCTGGTCCCTGTGCAGGTGGCAGAGCCGGACCTGCTCAAAGCCTGCGCGGGGGCCGACGTGCTCCTGTTCGTGGTGCCCCACCAGTTCATCGGCAGCATCTGCGACCAGCTCAAGGGCCACGTGAAGAAAGAGGCCGTGGGGATGTCGCTCATCAAGGTGGGAGCGGGAGCCGAGGCGGGGAGGAGCTGGAAGCAGCCCGGCTCGGAGGGGCTGCAAGGGGAATCCTGGGATTTGGGGGCGGAAATGGGCTCTGGGGTGATGGGGGCACGTGGGGAGGGTGGGGGCAGAGTCTTCGTGGGGATTTGGAGGTGCTGGTGGGGAAGGGTGAGAGCACGTGGGGGATCTGTGAGGAGCAGGGCACAGCTCGGCCCATCGGGAACACAGTGGGAGCGTTGCAGGACAGGGAATGGCAGGATTGGGGTGGGGGGCAGGTGTCCAGGAGGGGCTCACGTCTCCTTGAGAAGGTGGTGATCACTCAAAGGTTGGACTCGGTGATCTCAGAGGTCTTTTCCAACCTAACTGACTCGGTGGTTCTGTGACCTCTGTCCTTGGCTGTCTCCCAGGGCGTGGACGAAGGACCAGATGGGCTGAGGCTGATCTCGGACATCATCCATGAGAAACTGGGAATAGAGATGACCGTGCTCATGGGGGCCAACCTTGCCAACGAGGTGGCAGATGAGAAGTTCTGTGAAACCACCATCGGTAAGGAGCCGTTGTCCCTCCTCGTTAGCAGCCTTCGTTTGCGATGAGAGGCAAAGTGGGGGGCACAGTGCAGCTCAAACTGCTGGCTGAGCTGGCCCTTTTCCCTGGGAAGGCAGGAGATTCCCTAGGAGCTGGCTGAGCTCATTCCCAGGGTTTATGATGGGATCACTCGTTTCATTAACAACAGAGCTGTGTGGCTAAAACATTCCTGCCAGCACCGTGCCTGGCACAAGTTAAAGGGGTGGACACCATGAGGCACTTGAGGAATAAGTTCCATCCTTCATTTCCTTGGGCTTCACGGGATGCTCACCTGGATCTCACATTATTACCCGGCCAGGGCTGCTTGGACGTTGATCTGGTGGCTGTTCCAACACCCTCCACACCGTTGGGAGCCGTGCACGGAGCCAAAACCAACACAACAGTTTGCTGGGTTAGGGGCTGTGGGATTCAAAGTGCCTGTGTTTAGTGAAACAACAGCCAGCACGCTGGGCAGGAGGCTGGGGAGGTGGAACAGAGCCCACGGTCCCTGTGAACACACAGGACCCCCGCAGCAACAGGGAGGACACCGGGCTCCAACCCCAAATCTGCAGCCTTTGAAGATGCCTTTAACCTACTGGGCAGGTCGTTTGTGTCTTGCCTGACGAAGCAGCAGGGATTGTCCCTGTCCTCCGGGAGTGCCAAGGCTGAGCGGTGCTTATCTGTCAGGCCGTGTGTGCCTGGCTCTTGGGGGACCTGCAAATGTTTGGCCACGTCCATCGGTTGGGCAAGAGGTTCCTGTCCCTGGATGAGCTGCAGGGGAGAGCACGGTCCTACCTCGGGGTTTTTCCCCATCATCTTCCTCCTCCTCCTCCTCCTCCTCCTCCCTTTGTCTCCTCAGGCTGCAAGAACACGAAGCACGGGCAGATGCTGAAGGAGCTGATGCAGACCCCCAACTTCCGAGTGTCGGTGGTGCAGGAAGCCGACACCGTGGAGATCTGTGGGGCTCTCAAGGTGGGTGTGCAGGGCCTGGCCAGCAGAGCCTGGGGGGGCCTGCAGGGCTCTGCAGGGAGCTCTGGGGAGGAGGCTGCCAGGGGAACGGACCCCACTGTGGCTGCTGAGACCTTTGAGGCAAAGGCCAGGCTTTGGAGGGACCTGTCCCGTCCAGCTGCTTGGAGGGATGATGGGCACTGGCACAGGCGGGAGCTCGTGCTCAGGATCCCCACACGAGACGAATCGTGGGCACAGCAAAGCCTGAGCTCCGCTGGGAACAGATCCCTCCACGTTCCCGCTGTTTTCCAGAACGTGGTGGCCGTGGGAGCCGGTTTCTGCGACGGGCTGGGCTACGGCGACAACACGAAGGCCGCCGTGATCCGCCTGGGGCTGATGGAGATGATTGGCTTTGCCAAACTCTTCTGCAAGGGCCCCGTCACCCCCACCACCTTCCTGGAGAGCTGCGGGGTCGCCGACCTCATCACCACCTGCTACGGGGGCCGCAACCGCAAGGTCGCCGAGGCTTTCGCCAAGACGGGGAAGGTGAGCGGGGCTGGGAGCGGCTGGGGTTGAGGGGGGGGTTGTGGAGCTGTGCCAGGGCAGGGTCAGGCTGGATCCCAGGGAAAGGTTCTTCCCCCAGAGGGTGGTCGGGCGCTGACCAGGCTCCCCAGGGCAGCGGGCACGGCCCCAAGGCTGCCAGAGCTCCAGGAGGGTTCGGACAACGCCCTCAGGGACAGGGTGGGATTGTCGGGGTTGCAGGCCCGGCTCCTCACTGCTGGGTTGTTTCAGTCCATCGAGCAGCTGGAGAAGGAGATGCTGAACGGGCAGAAGCTGCAGGGCCCCCAGACGTCTGCTGAGCTGCATCGGATCCTCAAGAGCAAGAACGTGGTGGAGAAGTGAGTGCTGGAATCTGCTGGGCTGGGGCTGCGACCCTTTCCTGCAGCAGCAGGGGAACCCCCCCCTTGGTGTCTCAGCTGTTCAGGGCAATCCGTGCACTGCCCACATCACGCCAGCCGGGCAGGATTCCTGCTGGATGGGGCCCAGTGCCACTGTCCCACCTGCTCCCGCTCGTCAGGGCAGCAGTTGAGGTGCTCTGACCCTGCCAGCTGTGGTGTCTCCGTGTCCGTCTGCCCACAGGTTCCCCCTCTTCACCGCCGTGTATCGGATCTGCTACGAGGGCAAACCTGTCACTGACTTCATCAAGTGTCTCCAGAACCACCCTGAGCACATGTGAGGGGCTCTGCCTGCCAGGCCGCCGGCCCTGCTGAGACGTGCAGAGACTCCTGCCCACACCAGCCCGACCTGCTGCCCCAGCTTTGGGAGGAGTCCGGGTCTCCTGGGAGCCTTGGCAGGGCGCTGGAAGGGCAGAGGGTCCCTTCCCCAGCCCTGGACGCTGCCAGCCTGAGCCTGGCACAGAGGTACCCGCTGACCTCCCTCTCTCTGCGAAGGGCTCGTTTAGTTTCTGCCGCTCTCTAAGGTCTGCCCTGAGCGGGACTGAGCATCTTCCTCCTTCCACTTCCTCCTGCTGTGATGGATTCAGCTCTGGGAAGGACTCTGTCGTGGTTGATACGGGCTGGGAGGACAAACAGTGCCCCAAGTCCTCCCCCTTAGCCCCGCGGGGCCACTCTGGGTGACACCAGCCCTTCCCTGCCTGCTGCTGCTTTTGGCCTCCCTGCCTGGTGGAGAGGGCACAGTCCCCTGCCAGGCTCCACCCGCTGAGCAAAGCTCCTCAGGACTCCCAGAGGTGCTGAGAATCTTCTTTCTAAGCAGCACCAGCGCCAGGCAATGGCATTCCTTGCCACCCTGCCATGTGCTGCTTCCCGAGCCACCCCCAGCTGCTCCTGCTGACCCAGTGCTGCTCCACAGCTCCAGAGGGACACTTTGGGCCTTGTTTGTTTAGAGCTTTTGCTCTCGCAATCCCACGTGGCCCCTGCCCCGGGGAACTCCCCTGTTGTCACAGCTTTGCCTGTGCGAATTCCACCCCCGCTGACTTCTCTCCCTGTCCCACTTTGTCCTCTGGGGCTTGGCACTGCAGGGACCAACCGCCCCCAAGTCTCTGTGCCCCCTGCCTTGTACCTGCAGAGCCAGGGGGTGGGTACAGGGCACCTGGGTCATGTTGCTGTTAAACAGACGACCCACAGCCACACTTTGCCCTCTCTGGCTCGCTTCAGCCTGTGCTTTTAGCCTGCTCTGTGCTCCCACGCGTGCCTGGCCGGGAGCTGAGGAGCAGGTCCCACACCTTCCCTGCCGTGGGGATGCTGCAAACTGCCCGCTGGCACAGGGGCAGGAATGGGCATGTGATCCACGACAGGTACAGGACAGGGCAGAGGTCTGGGGCCTCACGCTGGGCCTGTGAAACTTGCCCCTTGTCCAGGCAGATGCCACGTGTCCCCCCTGCTCCTCTGGAGCTGGCGGTGTTTGCTCAAGGCCAGCGTGTCCAGCGGTCACTGATCCTGCCTGGGCTGGAATTCTGGAATGCTGGAGTGCTGCAGGGCTCCCCGTGCCCCCCATTCGGGTCTCTGACGGGCACTGTGCTTTTAAACTGGCAATAAACACGGAGAGGAGAGGGGAGATGCTCTCCCTGCTCTGCGGCTCCGGTGCGTCGCTGCCGTTGGGTTGGTGCCTGCTGGACTCGCCGAGCGCTCAGAGCAGGGCACTGCCCGTTCCCTCCTGGCTCTGCACCCTCCCGTGCTGTCCCAGAAACAGCAAGAATGTCCCCGCAGGTCCCTGTTTATGTCACACAGTGTCCCACTTGCTTTGTCTCGGCAGCGGTTCCAGGATTAAAGTTTGGCCGCGGGACCGTGGCGGGCCGGGACTGCGGCGTTGAGCCGGGTCCAGAGTCCTCACCTGGGGCCTGCAGGAGCCGGGCCAGGACCCCACTGTGCCCCACACACCCCGGGCCTCCCCTCCTCTGATGTCCTGGCTCTGCACGCCGTGGGGTTTTATTCATCTCTCCCCAGCTGCTCTGCCCCGACTCGCCTCGTCCCCGGGTGTCTCTGAAGGTGCCTCGTACCGAGTGACCTTTGCAGGGCTCCGAGCCCTGCGCTCGGCGTCTTGTGAGGGGAATTTAATCTGCTGGCACTGCTCTTGTTTCTGTGCCTTTTATTAGCCACGTTTTCTCACCAGGCGCTCGGCGACCTTTAAATTCAGGGAGCCGGCACGGCCTCCTCTGCCGAGGAGCTTATTTGAGCTTGGAGGGAGGATAAAGGAAGTCCAGCGTGTTCCTGCAGGGCTGGCACGACTTGTAGTTCCCTTTGTCTCCGAGCGCTTTCAGGAGTCCGAGTGTTTGGACATGAGGCTCGTGCAGGAAAGAGGATCCCCGAGCTCTGCTCCCAAACTCCTGTCAGCACCTGCCTGGAGCTGCAGCAGGATCCAGCGGGGAGTTGGGTTTAGCTGGGAGCTCCTGGGAGGTGGAAATGCTTCGTGCATCCCCCTCGTGCGGGTTTCTTTGGCTCTGCCAGCGCCAGAGTCCCTGCAGAGCTTTGCTCCCGAGCCTCACCTGGGGGGGACCAGCACATGGATCTCTCGCTTTCAGACACCCCACACTGGAGCTGGGAGCTCCCGAGCTATAAAAAGTCTCTTCCCTTTGCCAATTGGAATTATGTTCTGCAGGCTCAGCACATCCCGGCGCCGCAGCCCCGGGAGCTGCTGCTGGTGCGGGAAGGACGAGGAGAGGGGGGAAAGGGTGACTGTGGCAGCCTCGGAGCTCCAGGGAGCCCTGGATGGAGCAGGGCTGGGACAGCGGAGTGCAAACGCTGGGAAGGAGCTGCGGGAATGGAGCAGCTGCCGGGGGGGCTTGGGGGAAGGAGGCTCTGGGCTGGGGGCACACCAGGGACCCTGGGCAGGCACCGGGACCCTGGGCAGGCACCGGGACCCT